CTACCACAACCTACTCTATCACACCTTATAGTCTCCCGCGGGAAGCCAGATCTACGATCCCTTGATGATGATCTCTCTCGTTGATTAGTTTTCATAGCTTTCGAATCTCTCTCATAACTTTCTTTCTCTCAAACTCAAAACACTCGAAAGATCTTTACACTAGCTTTTAGCGTAGTGCACTTGGTTGGGTCAATCATCTTGGGCAGGCCAGAGCCCCTAGCGCGGGCACGTCTGGCCTCATACCACTCCTTGCTGGGCTTGAATCTGTCGGAATTGAGGGTCTCACGGAGAGCTTCAAGGCTTGTGGGATAATTACTCGTGCCGTCCATGGCATAGGGCGCCTCCACGGTAGCCTGATAGTCGTCATACCTTCCTGGGAATAGTCCCCTGTAGCCAATGAGAGCAATGATTTCGTTGCGGCCGTCATCCAGGTACTCCTTCACCTTGTCTTGGTCATCCTTGATCTTCTCGTACTCGGGCTGCTTCAGGAGGAAACAATCCATAGCCTGTGCCAACGATTTCAGCGATCTGGATCGAGTCGGCTGCCACGCGATGGAGAAAGACATCAGTCAGTTCTCCTTCCTCTTGCTTGGGGGAAAGGGCGCGCTGTAACTGGCGGACGAACTGTACAATGGGATGCTCTCTGGTGGTGCCTTCGGCAGTCAGTCCTCGGATCTTGCTTAGGACTTTAACCGGGTCTAGTTTGATCTGCTCCCAGTCATGGAGATTTCATAGCTTGCTCTTCATCTGTGTTGGGTAAGGCAACACTGTAACTACTAGCTATTATCAAGTTAATCTGTTGATTTGGGCGAGCTGTGCAGAAAGAATGATCTTTCTGGCTGGTCGCTCTGAAATCTGTTCGGTACAATAGAACTGGTAGATTCTGGGTGCTCCATTCTGTAGTGCATTTTTGTATTCGTTTTCCTGCTTCTACCAGGTAGACAACTGATTCTTGTAGACAGCTAGCTTGAGCTCGTCATATACCTTCTTGCCGTCAGCGTCAGTGATGCTTTGGGGACATCAATCCACTCTGACCTGGTCCTGAAGGTAGCCACAATGTGGTTCAATGTCTCTGTGAACGGGTAAAATCTGGAATCAGCCTGTCCATTGGGATGGAACAGGTACTTGCGGCGGTTGCTTTGGCCTCTGCCTCTACCGCCACCACTGGCACCGCCTCTACCGGCGCCTTGGCCTCTGCCGGAGGAGCCTCTGCCTCCTCCTTTATTTCCATGGCCTCCTCTGTTACTGTTGAATCGTGTCATCTTGCTCTTGGTTGCCTTGAGGAATTACTGGCTGCGTGGACTTGTACTGGATACGGTGAAGTTAGGACTTGGGGCGTTTGGTGGAGCTGGAGGGGGTTCCTCTTATTTCCTATTGATCAGGTTGCCTCTTGTGGGTCTATATGTCACTCCTGTGACTGCTCCAGCCTTAAACTTGGCTTTTTCCTATCTGCGCGTCGAAATCGTGGCTCTATCTGTGGCTCACTCGAATCACCGTTTTGGCTTGGAGGATACTAGCGAATGATGCTATCGGTCCTCTCGAGCGCTTGTTCTTATTGTAGATGCTGGTATTGTTGTTAGATAGACCTACTGGAGCAGTTTCATAGGCTCGAGTGTCTTCTTCCTTGAGTTGCAGCTGTCGGCGCTGGACTGGGCTCTTATTATCCCAGCTCTTCAGCACTGTCTGACTCGTTCGTCGATATCTCGGTCAATGTTTGGAGTTGAGAGCTTGAACTTGTTGTGGCATTAGCGTCGTTGGCTTCTCTTTCTATCCCTGTATTGGTTGTTTGGTGTATCTCGCTTCGTTCGGTCGTCGTGTTCGATCGCGTTGGTCGGCTTCTGCTCGTTCGATGGGTACCTGAATCACTCGAACGATCGGTACTCCTCGAATATAGCTTCAATGACCTTGCTTCAAGCACCAATCTAAACCGTCTTGATGCGCTCTCTCCACTGGTATGCTTGGTTTGGACTCTCGATGACTATAAGTTGATCGGCCGATTCGTCTTGCTCCTGTTGTGAGCTTCGCGCGCTGAGCGAAATTCTACTGTTAGCTCTGTTGCTTTGCCTTTATATAGTGAGGCTGCGGCGCACCTCTGCTCAATACCTGAGCCTGCTGTAGTTGCTCTCAGTTCTTTCTCACTATTACAATACCAATACCATGGGCAAACTCAATACAAACTTTCTTTCTGCACAGTGTTGGGTAAGGCAACACTGTAACTACTAGCTATTATCAAGTTAATCTGTTGATTTGGGCGAGCTGTGCAGAAAGAATGATCTTTCTGGCTGGTCGCTCTGAAATCTGGATTCTGAGAATGCCAGTTTCCTTAAAATCCTACGATGGTGCGGTCTTTTTCTTATCCGGGTCCGCTAAATATCTAGACCGGCCAACAACGACAAGGCAATGGCCACAGCATGGGACCTGATCACTCAGACGCACCTGTGGTGGAGGTGAATCGATGATGACTGTTGTCGATCAGTGCCCTTCTAAGAGGTTAAATCCTGGCTAGGCCACCGTGCTCCAGGTCATGATGGGAAGATGCACACTTCCATTGTAAGTAGAGCTGTAGGGACATGCCCCTCGTTCATGGGGCGGAGGTGAACGGCGGTGAGACTATAGGATAGTGTAGCCGTGCTACTATGAGTGGCCTGTCCTCCTGCAGCGTTGAAGCTTGGTGTGCACAGTGAATCTTCCTATTGTGCAATTTGTCAATGGTATACGACTCAGCTGTTTGGGCCCTCGGGCTCAACTCGTGCCAGCGTAGAAAAAGGTCCTCCGGACCCAATAGGTGGTTAACCTAAATAAGTAATTCAACATCATCACTCAAGATGGAAATGGTTTTTTCACGAAATTGTGAACGTTGGCATCTGTGATGTACGCAACGATGGAGCCATCTGAATCGACAAAGAACCGGTTTGGTTGCCGTCCTTCCGCTTGACATCTGGTATGCAAAAGTGGATGCACAGGCATTTGTCGAAAACACTTGCATTGTTCTTTTTAGTAGTGCAGTCCACTTTTGGTACAATTTCTTACAATTTTTGTTCTCTTGACCATTCTTTTTCTTGTAGAACATTTGGGGCGCTGTGGGTCTCAAATCATTTTCCTCGCTATCATTATATGTGCTTGAGTATAGCTTTGAGCTTGCACTGAGGAACCAGAGACTTTCTCCAGCCATGACGGCCTCGAAGTAAGGGCGTTTCACAGTGCTTTGAGAAAGTAGAAGATTCCACAATTCTTGATTATCACCGACAGCTTTGGTGACAAAATCAACATCGTCTTGAATACCTTTGCCAACAAAGGACCCTTGCGTGAACGCTCCCTTGATATTGAATTTTGAGTGCTCTGCCCACTGTTTCCCCAACTTACTAAACTCTTCTTTGGAGAACAGTTCTTCAAGAAAAGTCTGCACGGTAGGGTTCTCTTTCTGCTCGCACCAATACCTCAGCTCGGCAGCAAGGAGTGGCTCCATCGCATGACCGGCAGCAGGTCTACAAAGCGTGCATACCTCCTCACACTTACGACTGAAAAACTCTTTGTTGTCCGCCAAGGCCAAGATTGCTTGTCTCCCGAGTTCCTCATCCAGAATAAAAATGTTTTTGTTGTCGACTTTTCGTACGGAGCAAAGCCCAACATGGAGTAAGTCAACATTGAAGTCCTCTGATGTGAGTGAAACCGTACCTCCCAGAAGGCTGGAAATGGCCAAGAGCTCAATACTCTCTGGAAGGTCTCTTTTTCTCGTAAATAGATCAGGTTGTGTGTGCTTACGAAGCAACTTTATTTTAAAAGCGCACCAACAGCCCTTGCTTCATTGATTCAAAACGAGTCTCGATTGCGGCCTCTAGAACCTCTTTCTTGCTTCTGGTATCACCCTTCTTGAGTGTGGATGCGACTATGTTAATCAGAACACCGAGAAGCCATCCACGGCCTTCAAGACTCCAAAGGCCACTCACTGTGTCGAGGTCAACACCATCCAAATTCAACAAATCTTTGAGCGTGTGCTTGATTTCAACTAATGGCACATGTGGAAAGTCAGTGAATTCAATACATGTTTGGGTCTTCCCCAAGTCACCCTTGCAGGATTCAACTGAGCCAAGCGTCATTGCAGTTCCGGCCACAACTACTGGTTTGCTTCTGAGTCTTGATATCCTTCTCAAAAAGGGGCAGGCAATTCCACGATTCTTTTGGGTCAGAGTACTTTTCCATATATTCTGCTCCTTTTTCAAGAGAGATTATCCAAACTGCGCTTCATCAAAAGCATAGAAGTAGAAATCACCATCCGTTGCCAGATTTATTTCTCGTTCGAGGGCAGAGAGCTTATCCGAGCTGCGCTGCTTGAGCGAATTGTACAATTTCAGTGTAATATGGTGCATATGCTCCGTCAGCTGGTACACGAGCCAATGCTTCGCCGTGTCTTTTGTACACTTCTCTTGGAATACCAACAGCATCAACAAACGAGCCAAAACGAGTGCCAGGATTAGTTTGTCGGTTTCGTTCTTCTTCTCATAATCAGAGGGTTTTTCAATGGCCCGAGCCACATCCTGCTCGAGCGCCTCAAACGACAGATCCTTGGATCCGGGATCGGCTCGTCGCTCGTTGTCACGGTCATAAGAGGAAGCAGTGAAGAGTAGGCAGGGATACACCTGTGCTGCATCAAAAATGGCGGTTGTCTTTCTGCAACCGCTCTTCCCAAAAAGAATGACACTTTTTTTGTCCTTTGCGAAGTTTTCAATGAGATCGTAGCCTACTGGTGTCACTGGCAAGTAATCTCCATTGGTAAATCGCATATCAACATCGGGTCCTATGAAATGGAGATCCCTTCTCGCAAATTCCTCCAACTTCAGTGGAAGTGCAAAGAGCTCTTCTGGTATCCTCATTTGATAGAGCGTTTTACCATATGCCTCTATAGCAACCTGCAGGAGGTTATCTGCATCATAACTATCCAAAACTTCAAATTGCTAGGAGTGGGGGGATCCTCTGGGGGGAGGGCTCCATTGGAGTGGAGGGCTCCATCATTTTCTGCTTCTTCTCCGATGGAGTCCAGAGCTCTGACTTACGGTCCTCAATCAAGCCATATTCAATGGTGTCTGAGAGTCTGTCTTGAGGGTCTCGCAGCTTCCAATCATCTCCCTTGCTGGAATAAATAGGGGTTTCCCCCACACGAAGTGCGGTTAACAGGCCCATTACGAACTCATAGCCTTTGTGGACTTCCAAAACCTGCTTCTTCGTGGTGAATAGTCCTCCTCCTGGATTACGCTTCAACCAATTAAATGTCACCTTCATGCTTGGCAAAGTGTCGCCACCGCCGCTTCGTTCTACTACAGCCTTCGTGTTGTCCGAATCATCGATGGCACTGGCATTGGCACTGGCGGTAACAGTCATATCATGGTATTGCTTGACAATTGATGCTGAAGTACTACTAATAGTATTGCTTAGTTTTCGATGGAGAGGTTGTGTGCACCGTGTGGTATGGTACAATACGGCGGATGCACTTTCTAGCTTGGTATATCGGCGGCGCGAGCGTCCCCGGCCGGCCAGAAGCCATTCGAGCTGGGATATGGGGCCCAGTGAGAGTACAAAAGCAAAACAATGTAAATAACAAATTCGACTCACCAGGAGCTAAAAAAGTAAACTAACAAATAACGAAAGGCAATGAGGTGAGAGGCTCATATGGAATTTGCATACAACCAGTGCAGGGATGAATCAAGCTTCTAGCCCTCCTCAACCTCTTTATGAGCGGGAAGTCAGTAGCTGCCTTGGTTGTAGAGTAGTGCGCGTAAAACAATAAGGTGCTTTCTGGTACTGTAGAAAATTGTATGGGGCATCTAACTGCTGTTTGGAAGGCCTCAAAAAGAGTGGAATAAAGGTGCTGCTAGAACGTCGCAGCTGCAAGGCTTGGTGCCAAACCGATTGAGAGTTAAGCAGATGTATACCTACTCCAGCTATCTGTAGCTGCTCAAGCTGGGGGGTGAACTGTGTATTGCAAATGTCCAATTGCAAAACGTTGTTTTTGTTGACTGTTGGCAGTCGTTATTTTACTGTTGTACTGGGACTTTAAATAAATATTTTTTCTAAAATAAAAATGCAAAAATGAATTCATTTTAATGTAAAAATATGATGTTTTTGACGTTTTTACCAAACATATTTATATAGCTACATTGCACGACAACATTACGCGACTCTATTACAAAATTTATAGATAATTCTAACACATAAGAACATAGCTCTAACACATCAGATCACAGCTCTGACCCACAAAATATAGTTCTAATCGCGAAAATGTAGCTCTATTGCGCGAAAAATGTAACTCTAACGCAATGATGTATACTTCTATCACCCAAAAATATAGTTTGGCAGCTAAATTGCATGGCATAATACAGACAAAGTTCCATGTATGACACGACAATAAATGCATTTCATATGACAACAAAAAGCTAACATACATTGGAATAGTTCTGTGACGCGTCTCACAGCACAGAAATCTTAACAGTTCTAATATGCTACAACAACAAATAAAAACACGTGATAGTGTAGTCCTAACACACAAACGCCAAAATGTAGTAGACTCTCTTAACGTACCAGACTGATTCAGAAACTCTGACAGCATGCGAAAATGTAGTTCTATTACACTCCTTGACACCAAAGCCAAATTGCACGATGATGTAGTACTTCCAAAGCTAAAACGCGCGAAAGTCTAGCTCTCTCACTCATGTAACACCATAACAAAGATAATGTATTTCACATGATAATAAAGCTACTAAAACACACGAGAATAGTTCTCTCACGTGTGTACTAGAAGAGACTCACTAGAATACAACAACAAAGCTAAAATACTCATCAGAATGTACTAGTCAAAACTGACATGCGAGAGCGGCACTCTAATACTACACAAGGAAGCTACTCTAAAAACCAAAATGTAGCTCTGTCATGATATAGACACAACTAAAACGCGAGAAAAAGTATTTTTCATGCATCTAATACACAACATATGAGAAAGTAGCTCTGCAACGCGTGTGTGACATTTAGAAAGAGAACTGAAATTTAAAACAATCTAAAATGCGCAAGAATATAATTCTAACATGCAAGAAGAATGTAGCTGTAACACAACAAAATGTAAGACATAGCTCAATGCGCGAAAACAAGCAAAAATCAGCTCTAACACACAAAGTCTAGCTCTAACACGAAAAATGTAATTCTATCAGCGACATTGAAGTCAGTTTGCATTACATAATCGAGCAATCTAAAATATGCAAGAATATAGCTCTTGCTCTTGCACAAGTGTGATATGACAACCAATGTATTTCACAAGACAATAAAGCAAAAATACGCGACGAGAATATATTTCTCTTACGTGTGTGCAAAAAAGAATCTCGCTGACATAGAAGTTTTGCTTAAAACAAAGTTAAATATGCGAGTATGTATTTCAAAAACATAAGATCGAGCTGTAACAAGCAAGAATTAACTCAAACACGCGAAAATCTAACTCAAACGCGCGAGAATCTAGCTCAAAACGTGAGAATCTAGCTCAAACACGGAGAATCTAGCTCCTCAATCAGCCAACTAAGAATGTAGCTACCTTATTATCGATAATGAGCTGCATGACAACGAATACAACTATATTACGCGAAATTTAAGATAACTTTGCAATTCCAAAATGACATCAAAATTACATTCGTGATAAAGTTACGCTGTGTGGCTAATTAGCAAACATTACGCGAAATTTTCACGAAATTTTGCACGAAATTTTGCACGAAATTTGCATATTTGCACGAAATTTGCACTTTTGCACAACATTTTGCAGCATTTTACACGCGACATTTTACGGACATTTTACACGACATTTTTTGAGCTTTGACGCGACATTTTTGCATCATTTTGACGCGACATTTTGACGTTTCGACGCGACATTTTGACGCGACATTTGACGCGACATTTTACGCGACATTTTACATCGACATTTTGACCGACATTTTGACCCGACATTCTTTTTTACACGACATTCTTTTTGCACGACATTTTTTGCATGCATTTTGACGCACATTTTTACACGACATTCTTTTTTACACGACATTATTTTGCACGACTTTTTGCACGACTTTTTTCACGACGTTTTTGCATATGTTAAGAGAATACTCACAATGATTATTTCATTAATTTAATTAGACAACTTAGCCAGTGGTATTGGGTCCCCTTTGGGGTATACCCACTGGCGAAATGAATGATTTTAATAGATCATTAAATTGTTTTTGGGTTTCTCAATTAAGAATGTTTAAAAATTGAGCAAAATTCAAGCATTTATCCTTTTATTTTAGATTTATTTTAATATTTCTGAATAATATTAGTTTGTAGAAAAATTGTGTTATAACAGAAAAAATATTTTTATAATTACATAAATTAGTTTATTGTTATAATCCATTTATTTTATATATTTATATATTTTGTTACTTTTTTACAGTTTAATTAGTTTTATTGCAATAATTACTGAATCATTGTTAAAAATAGATAACTTGCAGCTGTTTTCTAACCATACTTTAGATTAAGGAATGCATTTGAGTCTGACATTGTTTTGGATTCGGGCACTGTTAAAATAGCAATGGTTGTAGCAGAGCTAGTAGCAGTGCTGATGATGGCAGCAAACGAGGATGGGTCAATCACGAGGCGACCATGTCCCTTAACTTCATATGTTGAATTTTATTAATATTTCCCTGGCTGGTGGGGTCAAATCTCTCTGCCCCATGTTATCAGTTTAGGGCACCCGTAGCAGCACAGTAGACAAGTGGTCAGCCAAAATTGATTCTATTCAAAAATTGTTTATATGCATACGGTACGTGTTCCCTGTTTTCTTGTGTTTATATGCATACGGTACGTGTTCCCTGTTTTCTTGTGTTCCCGCGCGTCCTTGGCATGAAAACCTTCACTCTAAACGGATTTCTACTTCCAGAACAAAGCGAAAGCAAGGCTTCTCACAATCAACTTGCCATCACCTTTTTTGTCAAACAATGATCTATCGATGACCTGCAGCCATTGCTATGCTGTCAAGGAGTAAAAGTGCAGTGGCTGTCGTCGAATATTGAATGAATCTGATAGTTGCTGGTCCATGTTGACATAGGTTTCTACCTCCTTCTGAAAATCAAAGCCTCATAGCATTTATCCAACCAGTGCAACCATGACAATGGATGAAACTACCAACCTGACCTCTGGAACTCCCGAATATGTCGCCTATGCAGCCACCAGTGACAACAGCAACAACGACAACAACACTGGCGCTAGCAACAGCAACGACCCGCCCACTCCAGGACGCATCCGCAATCGCCGTGTGATTCTCGCTGGTGGCACCGATGCACCTTTGACACCCAACACGACGCACAATGACCCGAGTTTGCGCAATTTGTTGCAAACCGAACATCTACGAGGATCCACTCGAATGCTCCACGAATACTACAACAAACAACCCACACAGCAACAAGCATCCAATCACAAGCGACGTTGGTCGTCTGGGGATGCCGGAATCTTGCCCTTGCTGGAAGATCACGAACTGAATTTGGATGTCATGGACACCGATCTTCCTGGCCTGACTTTAAAGGATGCTCCAGAATTACCTACTCTTGGAGGAGGAGGTGGTGGTGGTGGTGGTGGTGGAGGGGGCATGGATGTTTCTTCTCTGCGTCTTATCCATGCTTCCTTTCGCAGACATGTCAGGCACGTCCACAAAGGATTCTTTCAAGATGCCATCTCCCTGGCGGAAGGTACCATCCCCCAATCCGTCGTCTTGTCCTTTATCATTGGCATTGTCTGTGGCGTGGCGGCCTTCTTGTACTACACAACTCTCTTCTTCCTCCTGGAATACTGCTGGCATACCTTTCCGGAAAAATATGTTGTCCCGAATGTTGACCCAGCCTACCATTGGATCTATGCACCCTGCCTGTCCTTTTTCTTTGCCATACTGGTGGGCTTGAGCGTGGTATTCCTCGGAGAACCTGGAGATCTTCCCTTTACCATTTCCTGTATTCACAAACAGGCGTTCATCCCCATGAATCACGTGACTCCCATGTTCTTTGCTAGTTTGTTCTCCATCCTGGCGGGTGGTAGTCTCGGACCAGAGGCCCCATTGGTTGCCATGTGTGGTGCTCTCGGAGGGTTTGTCTCACGAACGCTCTTTGGACAAACACACGTTCATGTGGTGAGGAAACATACCCTCATGGGAATGGTACGTTAAAAGGTCGGTTCTGGTTTTAGCACTTTGTTTCTTCTTCTGCTAACATTATCCCTCATTTGGGATCCAGGCTGGAGCACTCTCCGCCTTTTTCGGATGCCCATTGGGCGGAAGTCTGTTTGCATTGGAAGTCAACTCGAGGTTTGGGATTGAGTACTTTGAACACATGGTGGAGGCCATCTTTGCTGGGGAAATAACACTGGTTGTCTTTCGATCATTGAGTGGATTGCCCATTTCCTCCATCTGGAATCTAACTGCCGAGAACAATGGACTTCCCATGATGGAAGCTGCGCCGTGGATGGTCGCGGCGGGAGGAGCCATTGGATTGCTGGGTGCAGCAGTAGCATACCTGTTTGCCTTGTTTCATTGGGCTCAGATGGGATTATTCGACAAACTCGGACTGCTGGACAATAGCAAAGCAGTGTACAGAGCCCTGCTCGGGTGTGCTGTCATTTCTGGTATTGGATTATTCGTTCCCCATACATTGTTCTGGGGTGAGGAAGAGTTTCAAGTGATTGCCTCCATGTCACCAGCCAGCGAGCTGCCCTTTGTGTGGCCTACGACGGGACTCATTGGATTTGAAAACACAAACATTGTCACATCGCTTATCATTGGATTCTTAAAGATTGTTGCAATCTCCTACACAGTGGTGGGTGGCTTCCGAGGGGGCTACATCTTTCCTTTCTTTGCCACTGGAGCATGCTTTGGCCGTGCACTGTACATTGTCTGTCCCTTCATCCCCTTGCCCGTGGCGATTCTCAGCTTCAGTGCAGGAATCAATGTTGCTATTACGAGGACTGCCTTGGCCAGCAGTATCATCTTGGCATTTCTCAGTGGTGAGCCTTTTGCACTTCCCGCCATTCTATCAGCTTCTCTATGTTCTTTGTTTGCTACAGCCTACGTGCCCTTTATCAAGACACAAATCACCAGGAGTGATATTGATCACAGTATGTTCCACCAAAAGAGGATAGTCACGAAGAATGTGCACAAAGAAGAATAGAGCCGTGGACCCCATAGAGCCCCTCATCCTAATAGCTATAGTAGCTCGTTGTATCTACAATCTACAACCATGCATCCTGTAATAGCCAGCAAGTTGCCTATGTTTAAATGTGAACCAACCGGTATTGTAGGTCTTTGTGTTCCGGTTCCCGCGTTGTCCCACTCACTCGAAAGAGACCAAGGGGACTGCCCGTTGGAATTACATGTACCGGTACACATGCCACGCTGCTTCGGCGGGTCTTCGCCAAAAATGTGAGGCATGATCACAACCCTTAGCATCCACGTCGTTGGAACGGCCATCGTAAGCCCTACACATGTACCGACTCTTGCTTTCCCAAGCACCTATGCAAAGCACGCACTGGGGAACTTGTACTGTTATTTATGTTCTGCCACCGGTATGCCTCGAGTAGCTATGGCATACATGTAGTTTCAAAGGGCAAACGAAAAATATCAATAGAGGGCGAAAAACGACACCCAGGCTGTCCTTCAAGGCGAACCAGAAGTATCAGAGAGTGGACCCATTCCACCGTTTTGCTCTTCATCTCTCCTTTGCCTATGGAATGCATCCAGCACTATCTAGTACCGGTATGCCATACGGTATCTGAGAAGCTCGGAAATGTTTGGGTGCCGAGGCGAGCCCTGATTTTCTGAGGCTTCAGACCTTCGAATCAAAGGCCGATTTGGTCCAAACAGAGGCGCAGCATGCCGGATATCCCAACCACCCCTGTGCCGCCAATCCACTGGCCTGCTACGATGTAGATCTATTGTCCAAGTTGCCAGTTTCAATACCACCACTAGCTAGCTAGGTTGTTATATCTCAAAAGTTTCCTATAAGATTTTGTTATGAGGATGTTTTTGCTTCAAAACTGTTTTTTGTGGGTTTCTTTGTATGTTTTTGTTGTTTTGTCCTCTATAGTACAGCTCGTCCATCATTGTCGGTCCAGTGCTGATCTAGCATTTTTGTTCTATATACACTGTGGCCCTGACGTCTCTTCTGGGATGCCGTCCATCTGAAAGAAAGCAGCACTGACACGCGAACGAACCTTGCGCTGGCAACTACGTTCCCGGTGCAATTTGCGTTCGGCTCGTTTCACTTCCCCATCGGAGACGTCGCTGAGCATGTTGCGCCGTTGTTCCCAAGTGGTCTTCAAATCCGCTTTGGAGCGACGAGGCGACCGTGAAGCCTCATACACGTCCACAGACACGGAAGGGTCTTGAGAGTACTCCCATCCCAGCGCAAGAGGACAACCCATGCTGCAGCAGGGATGGTCACCCATCACCACGTCGTAACACCGAGTGGATATGCTGCCAAAAGCCACGTGCTTGGCATCTACAAAACTACCATCCCGTGGCTTGGAAGGGCGAAACAAGAGAACGGTGTCACGGTCATTGTTGCTGTCATCCGACAAGGGAGTCTCGAAAAACCCACGGCCATCGTCACTCTTGTGGTCGGTAACATGAACGCCAGCTCGGCTGTCAAAGGCAGGGGGAGTCTTAACCAACCTCTCCTGGAGAGAGGTAGTGACATGAAGAGGCGACGAAACAACCATTGACGACGACTCTGTGATGACTGGACTTCCACCCATGGCAAAAAGAGAAGAAAGCAATATGGTGTTGTCCTTGTCGAAGTGGAATTGAGTGAGCAATTCGCGAGTGATCACAAACAATTTTATGTCTGTTGGACAGGTGTCCGGTGATGGATGGGGTGGCGAAAGCCTCCCTTTTCCAGTGGAAAGTCTACTTGGGTATAATGGTATGGCTGGAGGAGCTTGGAGCTCAAACTGGGATAGCAATGTCTGCTTGTTGCAGGGCCACAACAACCAGGCAAGTGTTTACGTTTGTGAGCCTTGTTGCACTGGCAGCCAGTTTGCTGCAAGCACTGTCCTCCGCTCCCTGGACCAGCGAAAGGCGACTGTGATTTGACTCAAATGATTCGATTCTCAAAGTCTAAAAGGGAAGCAACGCATGCGGGGTCGGCATTGAAATTGCATTCTTTGGTTTTATTACACCGTTTTCAGTTGGGTTGTGTGTTTTGAATCTCTGAAGAAGCAAACTGTGACACAACCACACAGAACGAACCGGCAGGTTTTGTATTTGTGACCTGGTTCTGTGGTACTCCTCTACAGAGGTCTACACAGACCGGCGGTTACAAATACAAACCAGCCGTTATCGTTCCTAACAAAACGAACCGGCTACTTAGGGGCGGCTGTGCCCCATCGGTCTCCGGTCGCTCTAAGTAACTGACCATCGGGCTGGCGGGCTTCGCCCTCCTTAAGCCCTCGGTCAGTTACTTAGAGGACTTCCGACCTCGGGTCCCGGCCTTCACCATCGGGCTTGCGCCCTCGGTCCCCTAAGTAACCAGGTTCGTTTTTTATAAAAACCTCCTTGTGCCGGTACTAGCTAGCTAGTCTAGCTAGACTAGCTAGACTAGCTAGCTAGTACAGTATGACATAGCTAGCTACATCCACAGCAGCCAGGCAACTAGCTAGTAGGCAACCACTATTAATAGCTATGGATACCGGTAGCAGTAGTACCATAAAAAAGGAATGACACACAACACCATCGGTAGCTCCAAACTTCAGCCCGTTGGCCGCTTTGGTAGTGTCACTGTAGTAGAGTCATACGATTTTAGAGTCCCAATTACTCCAATTGCAGCCATTGATTTTCAAACCTCGTGGCTGCAATATTTGATAGAAAGTCGTTGATATCCCACCTTGCCATCTATCTCTCATCTCCAGCCAGCTGCAGAGAGCACTCTTTTAGTTAGTTAGACAATAATAGCACACGAACCTATTCAAAACCACGATGAACTTTCAGCCCGTTAGGTTCGATTTGGTAGCTAGCTAGCTAGTAGGTCTACTAGCTAGTATGATAGCTAGCTAGAATTGTCGTTCTTGGTGTGGCTTACTCTCACACCGGTAGACACGGCACACACGTTGAGAATTCTGGGCGATAGCTCCAATGAAACTTTGTGTTCTCATCACGATTAAAAATTCAGCAGTGTCAAAACAGCTCTGTTGCTTCATTGCAAACAAAAGGCATCCGATTTGCTGGCGAAGCAAATTCTTCCGGCAGCTGCTTTGCCCGCGATCGATAACTGTTGGAACGTCTGGGAGCCACCCGAAGGACATCTGGATTCTCCCAGACTTAACGGCATTTCTCTACGCGGTTCACAGGAACTCGTTTGTCGATCGGGAGGTTCTCGTTTCTCATTCAAACGATCAAACATTTTTGTCCACCGTCCAACACACGGAGCACTCCAGCTGGAATTGAGCCCCTTGCAGGGAAAGCCCAAGCATCGTGGCAACCGGTGGGATCTGGAGATGCCGCACAGTAAAACATTCAGAGTCCCACCATGTCTGACGCAGCTCGGCAAGACTACGACTAGCAAGCAAGCTAGTTAGACTAGCTAGCTACTGATACCTTGATACCAGTACCTTGATGAGTACTTTGAGCACAGATTTGAAAATAAATGTTGTGCCTGTACTACCTGTACCCTGTACTAGTACCGGTGCGCAGGAACAATTTTACACCTTCTCGAGTGGGATATTGAGCTTGCGAGTCCTGCAAACCAGCCAATACCGGTACTGCTCCGAGCTTTTTTGATTGCTATGGTACCATACTGATAGCCAGCAGCGGCAGCAGTTCTTGTTTAGCTAGCTAGTAGTAAGCCAACTTCGTCCTCAGAAGAACGGTGCATTCGTCAATAGCTTGCTGGATGCCAGAATTTGTCTCCCCGTGAGCCTGTCGCCTCTCGCCAATTTGATCCCAAGAATCTGAAGTGTACCTATTGGTCACATCCTCAATCACTGATGAGACATCTTTGCTTGCCTCTGTGGGAGCGTAGAGCGCGATCAGGTAGGTTGCCTTTTTACCCCAGCTCTGGTACAGCAATGGATTGTCGACAGCAGCTTCGCAAGGATCCAAGTGAATCCATCCGTACTTGGCTTGGTCATCCTTGTCGGAATGATCAGCAGATTGTTGCTGTCTCTGTAATTCTACCCAGACATGGTCTGCCCAGTCGACGACATACCGTGCCGTATTGGCATGCCCCAGAGCCCTCAACATGCGATAGAGGAGAATCGAGTATTCGCCACAACGTCCTCGTTTTGTCTGGACGATGGACCAAGCCGCATTGAAGCGAGGAAACCCGTACACTTTCTGGCATTTATGGCATTGATAGACTTCCACCCGACTTGCCTTGCCAATCTTCAGCTCGTCAACGGAGGGGCACATCTGTCCCAGGTACGTGCCACTGTCGTCGCCGTCATCATCCTTATCTTGAGTGTCATTGGTCGTCCCCTCCTTGGCCCGATCGTCCTTCATGGACGCGCCACAATGCACGCATCGATCGTAGTAATAGGGAAACAAGGAGCGAAACCAATCCAAGAAATGCTGTAGAGTTTTCAGCTGCTCCTCAGCAGAAAACTCGCCCCCATAGTATCGATCGGCTTGCAGATTGAGTGTGTGCTTTTCGCCATAGTTTTCCTTCAACCATGCTAGAAGTGACTGCGATGGAGTGGCTTCTCTTTCGTCCTGAAGAATTTCTTCAAATCTTTCCACTTGGAATAAGAGTTTGTCGTCAAAACTTCCCCGTTTGGCGGGGGTTGGTGCTGCAGTGCTGCTAGGTGGCGTTGGCTTGTGCTCTTTTATCCAGCTGGTATCCGTGGTCAGCAGTCGCCGTACTTTCCATAAATCACGAAATTTTCTTCGTAGTTCCAGACTGTCATCATACGACAGCCACTCATCAGTCCCCTTATTGTCATCGCTTGCTATCGGCTGGGCAGTGTGTGTCGGACCATCTGGAATTGACAGTGCCCTTGTTTGAATCTCGTCATTGGAGATGGAAGTGGACGTCTCAATGGCCTTGGAAAACGACAAGAACGCTCGAAACTTTCGCTTGGATGTACCGATCGCCATCCAAGTCAATTCAGAGGAGGAAGGATCCACAAATGTGAGTACTTGGATGGTTGTGCGTGTCGTGTTTTCTGCTTTGCCTTCTTTATCCTCCTCCTTCGTTCCGTTCAATTGAAGGTGCACACTCTCCGTGGCAGTGGCGTTGGCTGGTTCTGGATCCGACATGTTTTGGCAACAACCCGATGAAAGATTCAAGCTCTTCCTACTTTGGCTCTTGGTCGAGGGTGTGCACTCACTTTGATGTCGTGCTTTGAAAGGCAAAATAAAAATATTAATGAAAAGGTTGAGTTTAACGTGATATTACTTTACTAGACTAGCCAAAATTCTCGATTTAAAGTCTGTCTATTTTATGTCTTAAATCCGCCAATTGTCTCACTGGGACAAAATATTAAATCTGGACTCGTCGCTGCAGTGACGTGTCACACTCTGACTGTCCTCGAAGAGATGACAACGTCAGCAATCAGCTGATTTGAAGTCAGAACCCGCCGTTGTTTTTCTTCGAGGCAGAATCGTGAGTGTTTTGTATCCTCACAAAAATCGGCTTTCCCAATGCTCGTTCTTCACAAGGACAACAACTGATTTTCTTCGACTTGATCAGCAGATTCCCATTCTTCTGGTTGGCACTAGCTAGCTAGTTGGCGTCATCGTTGTGCTTTGCAAAGAGCAAAGTGCGTCGGTTGGTTTGTGAGACCGGTAGAGGTGTGGTTGTGTTGAAGGATGACACTTCTAGAAAATCGGGCGACTGTTCTGAATGGCAGTGGTGCGGCTGGTGGGGACAGCTTTTTGTCTGCAGGAGATCCACATCATGCAAGCAATTCAAGCAAAACGAAACATGTTGGCTTTGATCGTGTCCAAGTGAGGCTGTACCCAATCGTTTTGGGAGACCACCCCTTTTGTTCTACTGGTTGCCCCATTGCTCTGGGCTGGAAATTCTCAAAGGAAGAAAAGATGAAAGTCGACGAATACGAGGCCTCACGGCCGAAACGGGCTGGTCTGGAAGATCTTCGCATCTCGGGTGAAGAACGAAACCAACTCTTGTCGCGGTACTCTGAAATGGAGAAACAAAGGGTGGAACGGGACATCTACCTGGCACGACGCCGTCGACGGAGAGCTCAACTAGCCAACCGTTTCATGATGGCATACTAGCTCGGGGGGGTAAACTGCTACTAGCAATAAAGGGGTGCGCCTTATCTAATCTCATCGTATCTGTACTACTAGCTAGTGGAAATTCAGCCTTCAGTTTTCATCTTGTTTCAGTGCCCCTGGCCTGTCTAATAGGAGAATGCAAGGCAGTTGCCCTTCCCCAACTGGTTGGTGGACACGCAGGTACAGTTCTGAGGGCTAAATTCAGCTCCAGGGCTGTAGGACAAGAAGCAACATTCGCATCGGGACAGCCGGAGACACAAATCAAGGCGGTCAGATGATGATAGGCGCATACCTGCCTGGTTAGCCGACCTGTTTCGGATCTTCTTCTCAAGGATGTCTAACCAAACCATCCATTCTTCGTTTCTTGCTTTTCATCAGTCGGGACAAGGGCAACCATCCAGTCAACAAGCACCATTGAAGACTCTTGTTCCCTCTTGCTGGGAACCACTATGACGCTGGACGAGCAAGCAACAAGCACGCTGGCCGTGTTCAATGAACGGAACGGCCAACTACCAGGAACTATCGATATTAATGGCCTGCTTGTCCCTTGTTGGCTTCAGAGAATGCCAGATCGAGCTAGTACAGTGCACCTACCTTAGACTACGGCCTCCTTCACAGGTTTGCACTATCAAACTTAATCACCAGTGCTTCTTTTCAGCCACACAGAGCAGCTCTTGCAGTATGAAACAGAAGGAACCCTTATTATAGTCGGACCATCGTGAAGCAAGCAAGGTAGCACCTCGTTGCTCGTCTACAGTCGTACCGGCAGCTTGTCGGGGTGTTTGGCGCTGGAGTGCTCAATGGCGCAGACTAAGACACCAGACTGTCTAGCTGGCATACCAGCCAGTCGAGATGGCCTTGTCCTCGGTCAAATTTTCAGCCCATCCAGCTACCAATAGCAGTATCGTAGGCCAAGGCTTCAGTCAAATTTCATTCGCCCACAGACAACTAGCTACCGGTAGCTACATGTAGCTGGAGGAACTATGTCTGTTCCTGTGGGTTGTTGCCGAGACGGAAAGTGAGGACAAGCAAGCCAGCGGAGCAGAGGTAATAATATATGTCCCATAGCCTGTCCCATGCAATGTCCTGTCCCCTTTTAAAATTGCCCAATGAAGGCATTATGCAGGAGTATCTTGGTTGGACTTTTGGAACAGCAAGACTGGTTCTCTCTGGTCTCTGGTCTCTACCGACGAGGAACCGGTACAGTTCCGTAGCTTACGGTACGGGAAATACGTCGATACCCGCTACCGCTGCTTCGAAGGACGTACATGAAAAGCAATATTTTGCCAATAAAGTTCACTCCTACTAGTTTTGTTTGTTATCTAAGACTACAGTCTCCTCATCACTTGCAACCTCTTCAACAGCATTGACAGACCCATC